AATCAGAGATGCGACTTCTAAAGAGGAGTGAGGGGGAAGGGAGGGGAGCTAGGGTGTTGGGGTCGGTACAGGTATGTGAAGGGGGCCATAGGAGGGAATAGGAAGGAATGAGAGGGGAGGGGGGTAAGGGGACTTAAACATTAAACATCTTCTCACTATTACTCATGAATACAGATATATAAACCGAAGATCAAAGTTTATTATTTATTTTCCCGGAAAATGATAAAATAAACATATTACATGCTTGTACATATATCCAACGTGTATAAGGTATATATATATTCATCATTTATATTTGTCTAAAGCAAAATTACGTTAAACAGTATAAAAGTTTACAATTAAATACTAATAGTCTTTTCTCTGGATATCGCATTTTATACTTGACAGGGTTTGCCAAAAAGACAGGTGCAATACAAGACTTTTAGCATGAGTATAGTTTAGTTATTCAGAGGTGGTTTTCACTTTTCAGAAATGGAGTCCCTTAGTCCCAGTCAGTGTTTTTCGTTTTCTAAAAAATGTGGTATGATGACAGCACTGCAAAGCTTGATAAATTTTCACACATTGCTTTGGAACTAACACTGGGTTCGCAGAACTTATGCAGTTTAATTCTTTAGATTTGCTTTATTTGATGGTGAGATATATCCTCCTGAGCCGATTTCAAAAGGGTGAACAGACACATCCCTAGTTGTTATATCTGTGATAAAATGTTCATATTTTTTCATCTTTTAAATGTTGGATTTTGGATATTCAAAAAAATATCCATTCTATCGATAATTACTAGATCTGGTTTTTCTGCGGTCACAAGGAGGTTGGGAGGGGGGGGGGGACAGTTTCACCCCCTGGAAGGGGATGGGATACCGGCAATCGGCATACATAAAAAATCGGTCAATATTAATCAATCTTGTTATATATTAAATAAGATCATTGTGTCTGCGATTTTTTTTGGTGTAGTGTAACCTTGCAGGTATTCAAAATATGGTTTGTAGTTTCTTGTCTTCTACCTTGCAATTCAGCCCCTGCCTGTAAACATACAGAATTCTGATGCAGATTTAGTAGAAGTTAGTTTGTGTTGGCAGGGTGTCCAAACAGGAGTTGAGCAGAAATTGCAGTGTACCTTTCTTTAGATTGAACATGTAAGATTTCCAGATCATGTCAGAATTTTCAAGCATTGGCCAGGTAGAGAAAATGTCCTTGTTTTATGTGTGTTTCTGTATGTTCTCTCCAGAAAGTTTCGCCTTCAAAGGATACTTTTTCACTGACAGTTGCTTTCATTTTTTTGTAGCATTGATGTTTGAAGCTTGGTTATCCCGCTCCGGCATTTCTGCTTGACCATAGTTCTCTTATGTGGCTTGTTGAAAATTTGTTCTGCATAGTCTGTGATGGAACCTCACAAATCCTCAAGACACTAATAAACATACAAAGAACCACAACAGAAATTATCAATTTTAGAAAAAGAGACCATCTTGATAAAAAGATATACGATGGATGTTCAAGAAGTTTTTTTAAGTACTTCTAGACGTCTCAGCCCTTTACTTTTTTTCAAAGCTCACTGTATCTATCTGAACTGACTTTTCCCAACGGACTTTATTCAAACTTAAAATTTTTATGTAATTCACATTTTCCAGGAGGGTGTTTAGCTCAGTTGTCACCTATAATCCAAAATGCATTCGAGGAGAATACTATGGACAAGGCAGCAGTCGACATTTTTCTAAAAGGGCAAAAGTGTAACGGAGAGTGTTGGCAGAAAGAGTAAATGTCTGGGCCGAAAAAAAACCTCAAAACCCCCACAAATAGTCACAAAATTGAAAGTTTCTCAGACCAAATTCGCGAGGCTTCTTAGTTGATGAAGTTTGATGAGTTTGGCATCTGAAATGGTGTGTAAAGCAAGACTTGAAAAAAAGGTTTGGACAACATTTGCTCCAAAGAGGTTCTTGGAAAAGATTTTAAACTGGTTTGCAAAAACAATAAAGGCTTACCTTCCTTTAAATTTTTAAGTTTACCCAACCTCTCAAACACGCATAAATGGATAAAGTTTGAGTTGTTAGATTTATTATGTAGGCTGTGACAAGCAACGTTAAAGGGCTCCAAGAGAAAGCTAACTGCGTCCAACATATTATCTGACCAACATTAACTGATCAGAAAATTTAACCGGTATAAATTTAGTGAACTTTTTTAAAAAAAATTACAGGGCTGAGAGGTCTTGAAGTACCTAAAAAAATTTCACAAACTTATTGAACATTCCGCCCTCAGTATCAATTATATCTCATAATTTGGGCTTAGACAATTGTCCAAGGGGTACCGTTGTGAATCAGAGATGCGACTTCTAAAATGAAATCACGTCGACAGTAAAGCTTAAAAAATGTGATCTAGGAACATTATTTTGATGTATTTTAGCCTACCTGAATTTTAAACTAACTGGCGCTGATCCGCAATTATCCTTCGCGCATTTAATAAATTTCTGAAAATACATATTTTCTATTGTTTTGCTAGTACTCTGTAAACAAACTTGAAGTATAAACATTTTACAAAAAATATTTTTTTGTTCTAAAAAAATCATGATCCGTGTGCGGATGGAGACTGGTGTTTTGGCTGATTTTATCTCATTACAAATGCAATGAATAAAGAATCACAGATTGATCGGAAGATCCTTCGCAGAATACTAACATCTAATGCTATTGGTAACTCATCTAAATATGTTTAATTCAACACTATTAATTTCAAATTCATTTAAAATTTGTGTTCCTAAAAGAACAAATTTAGACCAAATCAAAAAATCCACCAATTTCGCGTAAAATTGCAAAAATATGTAAGATGTACACATCGGCCAATATTGCAACGTAGAACTTTCAAACCGACACATATTTGTCAAATATCATTTTTTACTTTCATATTTTAATTTACTTTTTTGTTCTTAATAAGGTTTTTAACAACGTAAAATTCTGGGATAAATTAATTTTTTTTCTATTTTCTATTTCTTTTCTTTAATTAATTTGTTTAATAAGAGAAAAATTGTAGATTTCCGTTTCGCAGAATATATTGTCCCCTAAAGTAATGTGTAGGAAAGTGTAGTGTACACTGTACAGTGCAATAGTAAATTTGTAACCATTTCAGAGACAATCATTTACAGGAAACAGAATACAGGGTTACTCACAAAGGATGAAACTGTAAAGACGACCTGGAACTTTTAAAATATTGGAATCCTAAGATCTTTTTAAGGCTTAATTTACAATTTTGGTTGGAAAGAAACAACGCAGTTTAAGGGAATCGTGAACATAGGAAAAAAAACATTAAATACCGTCTTTGAAGTCTAATCCTTTATCGATAACCACATAAAATCTTTAATTAATAAAACCATAAAATAAATTGTTCTGATTCAGCTAAGAAAAGGGTGGATTTAAATTTTAAAAAAAAACATTACACGAAGAATGAAACTTATTTGCATTTTGTTTTAAAGATTATGAGGAATTTTATAATTTTTATTAAAATGTTGAATTTGTTCCTAATGTTGAGCGTACATGCTGCTATTGCTGCCATAAAAACAGCTTAGAAGTTTGCTTTAAGTACTGTGATTATCTCATCATACCCAACCAGGACCAGAGCGCAGCCAATAGATCGCAGTACGTTAGTGAAGTTACCCTGCAGTACAGTACATTAAATTGTTTAACAAAGAATATATTAAACTGTTTATTTAGATGATCTAAACCAAAAGATACCAAAAGATCTCCTTATTTTTTTCTGTTCATTCAAAGTCAGCTAAAAATGTTTAAAAGCTCTTCACATAATCATTTCTTGATTATTTCTTGAAGAATATTCGGAGAATTTTTCAAATAAAAAGTGGAACCATTTTGGTGTCCAGTAAAATATTTGTTACAATTGACTGTTTTTTAGATTTTTATCTTTGAATTACAAAAGGGGATGGCGGAGATGAAGGTGGGGGGTGGGGTCCCAGCCTTCCCTTTTGGTTCAAATCTTCCAATTTTTGGCTGCACGCCTACTTTATTATCTTTTTCCTAATATAAAAAATTGGACACTAATGACCTTTAATGACCTCTAATGACCTTGACAAAAATGTAGAGTATTACCCTTTTTACACCTTAAAAAATGCCCTCCCCTTTCTCTCGTTAAAGTTAATTTGAACACACTAACCTTAAAGAATCCTTCCCCCCCTCGCCAAACCGTGGAAGTTAATTTGTACACACTAACCTTAAAGAATCCTCCCCCCCGCCAAACCGTGGAAGTTAATTTGTACACACTAACCTTAAAGAATCCTCCCCCCCGTCGATCTGACCGTGGAAGTTATTTGTACACACTAACCTTAAAGAATCCTCCCCCACCGGGTGTTTTACTTGTGAACAACAATGTGTATAAGAACCTAACCATGGAAGTTAATTCGTACACACTAACCTTAAAGAATGCCTTCGCTCCCTCGTCCTTCAAGATCTTCTTCCAGCAGTCCATTGTTCCACTTAACAGTAAAAATACATATGAATATTAAAATTAAATATTGGGAACAAGCAAGACGCTTCACGCACCCTCATGGAAATTTTTATTGATTCTTTTATTCTTTTTTATTTTTCGTATTTTTTTAACATTGTTAGTAATAATAAAACATATTTTTTTGTTATTTAAGAAAAAATTTCATGAATAATGAATTTTCTAATGGCCAAATTTACTCCCTTTATGTAATAGTTCACAAAAATGTCGTGTAATCGTAAACCGTGCCTGTACACGTTATACCGAACCTTAACACGTTGTACAGAACCTGTTCACGTTGTACCGTACCTGTTCACGTTGCACCGTACCTGTACACTGCGTACAGTTAATGTACACATTGTACCGTAATTATACACGTTGTACCGAAGTTGAATACGGTGTACCGTACCTGTGCATGTTGAAACGTACCTGTACACTTTGTACTGTACCTGTACATCTTCTCCCCCTCGCCTGACATCATCATAAGACGACGGCGAACAGTATCGAACGGATAAGAGACAGTTACAGATCCCATTGCCACAACCTTAACAGAACATTTTTTATTTTTAAGAAGGGCTTACTCGATCTCATCATCGGAAAGGATTACGTTTATATTGTTAGAAGTGAATATTTTCTTGAATAATCACCCCCTTCCCTTTTCTAAGGGGTTTTATTTGTTGAATTAGGGAAAATAAATGACTTTTTGGGAAAAATAAATGTTTCCTGAGTAAAAAAATAATAAAAATTTTAGGTAAAAAGAATTAATAGGATAAAAATATTTGCCTTTTGATTCATTTTTTTCATCCATCCCCCCCCCCCCATATACTTTACTAGAGGACTATTTATCTTTGATTTTTCGATTAAGAACTTTGATAGAACTTTATTTTTATTGAAGAGTGAAGGATTTTTTGTCCCTTTACGGGAGGATCTTTTTTACCTGAGCAATTGCAAACTTGGTGAAAATAGATGGTTTATCAACCATCATCTTGGCAGTATCATAAGCTCCGAAATATATCGCCCTAAAAATAAATATCAAGTTGATGCAAACAGAGCTGGGATACCCTTAATCCCGATCGCTTAATCTCGATATGCACTGCTGTGGAAACTTTTGATTTTCGGCTTAATGTTCCCTTTTGAATAATTTTATCGAGTTCCGACAAATAAGGGTGCAGAAGTTAAAAGTTCCCGGCTTCTGATTGGCTGTTCGGTTTCTGCAAACGATACTCTGATTGATTAACTTTTACACAACTTCCGGGAATTCAAATAAAGATTAGATAAATCTGCAGATTAACAAAAAGAGGAGATTAAGAATTGATCTTGATATCCATAATAAGAGAGATTCCAGCTTAGAATATACATTACAAATTAAGTTCAGAGATTTAATTCAAAAGCGGGGGGGGGGGGTACCGGATTTACAAAGGTTTCCTTTAATCCAATATCTGATCGTCGTTATTCGAGCTTGAAGTGTTCAACGTCCTCCGCTGTTTTTAAAGTAAAAATCAAGAACCCACAATTGAGATTTAATAATTAATTGATCTCTCATGAATTCTTGATCAATTGAATCGGACGTGCGTACCACTCTTTAAATATAGTCACGTGATTACATCTAAAGTCCGTTTAAACTTAACCCACTTTTTCAATCTTATAAAGTAAAAAGGGGGTTATACACAAGTTCAACCTCAAATCGTATTTATCATGCTCTTGAGTCGATATTCACAAAAGTATCCCGAAAAGTCACCTGAAATATTTTCATGTTTTCAACTTTTAAAAATTTATTTTTATCATTCACGTTTCTATGTTAGTAGCTTACGGATTTCTGCTACAGAAACAATTGATATTGTCAGAAATAAACACTTATCTTAAACATTATTGATCAGATAAAAATTTTAAGGGATCCGTACGTGAATCGGGAGGCGGTTATGCCCCAGGCCACTATGAAAGGAGGGTCATTTGAAATTACGACTTGACAGTTCCTCTTAGGTTAATTACTTTCTGAACATTCAAACTAAGCCATATTTCAGGAGTATATATCTTAAAACATTACACCCCACTGCAGAGAGGGAATACTTTTTTGCTCTGGAAAAAAAATTGGATATCACAAGACAAGTTTCTTTTATCCTTTTTGTTAAATTTTACCCCCAAAAAATCTAATCTATATTTCCCAATTGAGCGACTAAAACCTGCTCAGTGCGCACACATACCTAACTTCTGAGGGAAAATATTTTAGAAAGGGGGAGATGATTTAAAAAGAAGATATACACCCCTGAATAATTTACCTGTAAATAATGATACCCTGAACACTGGAGAGAAAACCAGGATACAGTCCTCGAATCATTCCGTCAGCCTGCAATTTTTATTATTATCATTGTCCTAATTATTATTTTAATTAGTATTATTGTTTTTTTTATATCATCACAGTTATAATTATTGTCAAAACACAAATCTCAGCTGTTAAGTAATAGGCAACTATCAAATCTTCATAATCTCTGAATGGGTAATTAAGTTTCTGCATGAAAATGTTGAATTTCTTTTTAAAATTTTATCAGAAAATCTGAAAGAATGTCCATGACCTGGATCCGAATCCATTTTTTAAGGTGGATCCAGGATCCAGATCCACATCAAAATGAAATGGTTCCTAAGGATTATGGCAAGCAATTGATAATGTAAAAAGGCCAGTAGCGACTAGCAAAGGAGTTGAGTTTTAGTGAAAAATATAACATTTATTCCATTTGTAAAGTTAAAGAATTGAATAACTAAGTTTTGAACTAGAACACAAAATGATTACAGTTTTTTAACTTTATTCAGAAATGATCATTGCCAGTGGTCACGACACTATACGCAAAATAAAATAGAGCATTCTGAGACCAACTGGCGATAGTTTATTCCTTTTCAACTTTAAAATAAACTTTTGACACTTTTTTTCTGTCAGTAATGAAAATAAATGTAAAAACATAACAAATGTATTTATTTCATGTTCCTAACTAGAATAACTCAAAAATAAAGTATGTTTCTCGTATGAAACGTTTCCCTTTTAGTATGGTACATATTATATATATTGTATAATGTATATGGTATACCCTAACAATAAGTATAGAATCTTATTTTAAAGTCAGGAAAGTCAGTCAGAAATGTTTAAAATACTTAATTCCTCAGAATTGGCTCATATTAAAGGTTCACAGCAATACAAAAAAGGGTAAAACCTTTTATTTAGAGGAAATATTCATCTTTAAAATATCAAGGTCTTCGGCTTCAAGTTCTACGGATATGCGGATGAAGAAGATAATAAATCAACAGTTTATTTAAACGTTATTTCACTCAACATATTAGAAAAGAGACGTAAGATGGTAAAAAATACTAATATTATTTAACTATACCTTGTATGACTTTGCAATACAGTCAAAAAGTCCTTTAAACTCTCGGTCCGCGGCAGCTTTCCCCACATCAGCACCCAGCCTGGTCCTATGAAAGCGTAAAAAATTAAGAAACATCAGAGGTGTATATTTTTCATAATGCATTTTAGCAAATAAGGATCGAATTGAATTTAGAAAACAGTCCCTTAAAAAGAAAACTAAACCTTGCAAAATCCAGAGGATAAACGATGAGAAGCGAGGTTGCCCCCGCCGCTCCACCCGCCGCCAAGTTCCCGGCGAAGAATTTCCAGAATTGGCTTTTATCAACTCCATCCATAAACAGCGCCTTGTACTTGTCTAGGAGGAAACAAATCAATCAACCATATATTCAATCTTTCAATTAAATCAATCGCTACTTTAAAATGAAAATATTAGTCTTTAAAATAGTTTGTATGTTTATCAGCTCAGGTCTTTATCTAAAGATTTTGTGGCAGGTGTAAGACTTCAATTTCTGACAGATTATGGAGTAGAGTACTATTTTTGGCAGATTTTATTAAATCAAGTGCTATTTTTAACAGATTTTAAAGGATCAAGTGCTATTTTTAACAGATTTTAAAGGATCAAGTGCTATTTTTAACAGATTTTAAAGGATCAAGTGCTATTTTTAACAGATTTTAAAGGATCAAGTGCTATTTTTAACAGATTTTAAAGGATCAAGTGCTATTTTTGACAGATTTTAAAGGATCAAGTGCTATTTTTGACAGATTTTGTGAATAAAATCTATTTGTGGCAGATTTTATGGACTAAGATAATATTTGTGAGATAAATTTTGAGTCTAAATGTTGTTTTGTGGCATTTTTGATGTACAATGTTCACCCAGATGAATCCCCTGTGTCAGTCCATCAATCAAATAAACATTTTCATCCCTCTAATGCTCAAAATATTTGAAAAGACTATTGGAACAATCGATTACTAAACAAATTCAGTTTATCACAATATATTTACTGATCATACAAATACAGTTTATCCGTCAAGGACTGAATAAGTATATTTTTAGTCTGTCGGTCTATCAGTCTGTTTGTTAATCAGTCTTCTGTCAATTGGTCTGCAACTAAGTAACTAATTTAATTGTCAAACTGTCAGTTCATAAATCAAACCGAATTTAAGCTAGTTTTGGAATCATATACACATCTTCAGATAGTTGACAAAATGATGGAACAAAATCTTATCGATTGAATCAAAAAAGAAACTTAATCTAACCCTTGAATGCGAAGTTGAGGGCCTGGGTTGGGAAGTATCTGACAACATTCACCACATTTCCCCGCCAGAAGGACAGGAAACCTACACAAATTCCAACTATTAAGAATAAAATGTGTAAGCACAATAAACCAAGGAATCATTATCTCGAGCAAAAAAAAATGACTTTATTATTTAATTCTATAATAAAATTCCACCAATCTGCACCCTCCCTATTTTTTTTATTTCCTTCCCGAAAATAGAATAATCCTCAAGATTTAATAGGTTTGATCACCATAAAAAAGTGAATGCACACTGCGCAATGCAAGTACAGTTAGCACCACCGCTGTGGAGAATCTTTGTTTCTTAAAAAACTACTTAATTTTTTTCAGAAATGACAATCTTTTTCCTGCACTTAACTACTTTATGTTATGAGTTTGTGCACGAAGCGAATCATTATTATTAGCATTAGATACTAATTTTAGAGAAAAATAAATAATTTCGAAAAAGGTTTTTTTTCTTTGTTTTTTAAGGGGCGGGGTTTATTAGAGGTAATTATTCCACTCAATTCTAATATCTTTGATTGAAAAAAATTATACAGCTCAAAAAAATCCGTGGATCTACGTAATTTTCTCCTGAGCCCGAATCGTCCCATCCGTACTTTTGGCAAAAATTTGATGTCTCCCACTGTGGACGTCTTCAGTACGGTGAAACACGACCCCACTCGTCGAAAATAAATAGAAAGTAAAATTAGATTAGATGCGGACACTTGTACTTTGGCTGACATCTGGCGGACAAACACTAGTAATATTAGATTAGGTGCTGACACTTACACTTTGGCTGACATCTGGCGAACAAACACTATTGAGTACGGCAAAGTATGTCTTCAAAATTTCCGTTAATTTGGGACGATCCGGGCTCTGATTATCTTCACATTTGGACTCTGGGTGAATATTTTCTCGAAATATTATTTAATTCCCCCCCCCCTCCTAAAAATTATTTTAATAGAAGTCAAATATGCTAAATCAAAATTAATTTCTAAAAATTTATACACAACTGTTTGGACTAACCCTGTTCCTTGTGAATCCTTTGAAAGCAATCCACTAGTCCCTTATACTGTTGATCTTTAGGTATATGCTTGTGCGAATCCTGAAGATTAAAAATATCATTAAATATTCTATTCAGCAATTAGTAATTTCCAAGAGAACGAATTCTGGACCCCCCCCCCCCCACCTTAAAAAAAGCACATAAATTTGTTGTAATTTAATTAATAACTAGTGGTCTAGCCGCGGCTCTCCACCCCATGACATGTCCTAGCCAATTTCTGGCCCGAGCTTTGCGGCTAGGACAGGTTAGGGGGCCGAGCGCTACGGCCAGGACAGACCTTAAATTTCAACAAAATTAGTATATATTTAGGGTTAGGTTATGACACTTTCTGGGCCAAGCGCTGCCGCTAAGACAGGCTAGGGGGGCGAGCCCCGCGGCTAGGACAGGCTAGGGGGCCGAGCGCCGCAGCTAGGACGGGATAGGGGGCCAAGCGCCGCAGCTAGGACTGGCTAGGGGGCCGGGCGCTGCGATCACATGAGCAACTGTGCCATATGTCAGATACATGTACAAAATTGATAGGAGGGGGGAACGGGGGGGGCGGAGGGTACAAAAATCGTTCTGTAGGAAATTGCCGATCCTAATTAGTAAGAAAACCCTTGATAAACGCCCCAACCTGGATTTGGAGAAGAATTTTAACTCTCTCCAGAGGAGCAACAACAGTCTTGGAGACTGCGGCGGAAATACCGCCGGCGATAAAATCAAGAAGAAAGTCTCTATTCATTCTGGGATAGAAAAAGTCTCTGAAAAAAAGTAGTTAATAAATGAGTTTCAAGAAAAGTCATCACTGCACTGCACGACATATCACGGATCACTCAAATTGTTAGACCATATACATAAATGGTTAGAATTTTATATTAAAAACATACTTGGTAGAACTTTGGGAGTTTAAATTTGGCTTAGAATAGAAGATTTAGTGCTGTGTAAGTATCCGTTGCCAGTTACTTATAGGCTTGCTTGGCAGCTTGCTGCTGCTGTATTTGCAGTTTACACACAAGCTACCTGTGTCAGTGTGCTCTGCGTTTTGTCTGTAAAGTAAGCCGTCTGTCTGTGATTGAAAGCGCAAAAAAAAACTTAGAATGCCGCAAATCACTCCTTGTAAATTGATTGATTGATCAACAAAAAATACAGATTTTTATTAATTTAATGGTATAAGGTTTTTTCAAATTCGTGTCTAATAAAATTATACATTATACAATTGGGGGTCTGGAACGATGCTATTAAGTTTGAACTACTGCCATTTGAACTATTGACTTTTTGAACTATCGGTCGTTTGGATGGTGTATTTTTGGACCTACGCCCATCCCCTCTACTGCCCATCCGACCTACAACCACGTGGCTTTAACAGCTGTGGTAGGACCGATGCACCGGTCAGATGGGCACGTTAAAAACAGCATATTGGTGCATCTGACCTACTTTAAGCTACTTTAAGACCTACACGTTAGTAGATTTAATGGGCCTTTTTTGTAGGTCGGATGGGCATTTTTCGTAGGTCGGATGGGCAATTTTCGTAGGTCAGATGGGCACTTTTCGGAGGTCGAACGGGCATTTTTCGTAGGTTGGATGGGCATTTTTCGTAGGTCGGATGGGCAATTTTCGTAGGTCGGATGGACGTTTTTCGTAGGTCGGATGGGCACTTTTCGTAGGTCGGATGGGCATTTTTCGTAGGTCGGCCCAGACATGTGGCCGCAGCGCTCGGCCCCCTAGCCTGTCCTAGCCGCAGCGCTCGGCCCAGAAGTTTATCAAATTTATTAGAGTTTATCAA